GCCGGTGGCAGTGGGGCTGGAGGGTGCAGGGTGCTTGACACCCGCTCCCCCCACCCAGACCAGCGTGTGCCGTGTGGCCAAGCGCCCCGACTTTGCCGCCACGGGCCAGTGGGAGGTGGTGACAGAGAGCGAGGGGAAGCAGGAGACGGCCGTCTTCAATGCTGTGCTGGTGTGCACCGGGCACCACACTGAGGCACACCTCCCACTAAGCACCTTCCCAGGTACCACCCTGCGCCCCAGTGCAAGGAGAGACCCCAGAGAGCTTGGGCATGGGAACCCCTGTTCTCCCTGCTGCTCTTCCTCCTGGCCTCAGCTTTTTCTGCATTGCTTCGACTCAGGGAGCACTCCCACTCTTCTCAGGAGGGGTCTGGCGGGGCTAGGGAGGGTCCCCACTTCAGGTTTTAGGGAGGAGACCCTCCAGCCCAGCACCAGGAAGCCAAGCATCCCTCCTCCCCACCTGCAGGCATTGAGAAGTTCAAGGGCCGCTACCTCCACAGCCGAAACTACAAAGATCCCCGAGATTTCATGGACAAGAGGGTCGTCGTCATCGGGATTGGGAATTCGGGGTCAGACCTGGCTGTGGAGATCAGTCAAACAGCCAAGCAGGTGAGCGGCCAGTTCCAGGTGGGCAGGGAGGCCCATGTTGGGACACTGCCGGCTCCACGAGGACACCAGGACCAAGGTGCCGGCACAACCACCACTCTGTCCCGCCAGTCGCTGCAGTCGGCAGTGCCAGTACCCATCAATCCCAGTTGCCAGGCAGCAGTGGCAGCTGAGACTTGACCCCTTATGGATACCCTGATTTCCATCCCCAAGACCTGGGCTGTGCCTGCCCCTGCACCTCTTCCCTATCTCTCCCTGACAGGTGCCCACTCCGGCACCCTCTGCACTCTGGGTCTTTGTCCGGCACTTGGGCAGTGTGAAGAGGAGTGATCCCGGGGAGAGGACATGCTCCCCCCCGGGGCAGCTCCCCAGGACCATCACAGCCTTCAGCAGGCAATGCTTCCTTCCTCGGCCAGGTCTTCCTTAGCACTCGCCGGGGTGCATGGATCCTCAACCGTGTTGGAGATCAGGGCTACCCCATCGACATCATCCTCACTACCCGCATGAAGACATTCCTGAAGGAGCTGCTGAGCTCATCCATGGTGAGCAACTTCGCAGAGAAGCAGCTGAATGCGAGGTTTGACCACTCACACTACGGCCTGAAGCCAAAGCACAGGTGCCAGCAAAACCTCCCCCTGTCCAGGAGGGACCCCCCAGCTCCCTCCATCTCCAGCCCCGCTTGGCCATTTCCAAGTTCCTTGTGTCCAGACTGGGGCTGACGCACCAGCCCTGGAAACCCAGCTAATAGCTGCGGTGTGCCCAGGCAATGCTCGAGGGAGCCACCACTGCCTCTTCTGGGGACCCTTGGTGGCATCAGTGCAGTATCAGCTGCCAAGAATCCCTGGGAAACCAGCCCCATTGCTGATGAGCATCCTCAGGGCTGAGCACCCCTGAGGGCGAGCATCCTTTGAGCAGGGAGCAGTGGCCGGAGCAGGACATGGAGCAGAGACACCCCACTCCAGAATCCTGATGGCTCCTTTTACTTTCCAGGATCCTTGACCAGCACCCGACTGTCAACGATGACCTGCCCAACCGCATCATTTCGGGCAGGGTGCGGGTGAAGCCAAATGTCCAGGAGTTCACGGAGACGTCTGCCATCTTTGAGGATGGCACCAGGGAAGATATCGATGCTGTGGTCTTCGCCACTGGATACAGCTTCTCCTTCCCCTTCCTCGAAGGCTGCGTGAAGGTGGTGGAGAACCAGATCCCCCTCTATAAATTCATGTTCCCCCCCGACCTGGAGAAGCCAACACTGGCTTTCATTGGCCTCATCCAGCCCCTGGGCGCCATCATGCCCATCTCCGAGCTCCAGTGTCGCTGGGCCACCCGTGTCTTCAAGGGTAAGTGAGGCAAACCTCCCCTGTTGCTGCAGCCATGCCTGCACCCCCGGAGCTGGGGCAGATGGTGCCCAGCTGTGTGTGGGAGGCAGCAGTGGGCTGTGCCATCCTGGTCACGAGCGATGGCATGGCCACCTTACAGCCACCGTGGCAAGCTGGGCTTCTGCCTGAGCAGTGCAGGGACATCCATACTGAGCCCCACAGGCTGGTCCTTCCCATCCTGAGGAGCTTGTACATGCCCAGGTGCCAGAACACCCGCCACGGTGGTGCCGGCAGGGGCACAGTGCCCAGGCAAGGGCAGCACCACAGCAGCCACTGTTGCCAGTGGGGTGCAGCACCCCCATGCTGTTGTTCATCCTCCCTAGGGCTGAACAAGCTGCCCCCACGGCATGACATGGAAGCTGACATAGAGGAGAAGAGAGAAGCGATGGCAAAGCGGTAAGTCCCACCCTGGGAACAAGGAAGGGGCCAGTTTGGGCACAGATGCTTGTGGGCACCCATCCTGTCCTGTGGCTGCATCCTAGCACATTTGGCCATGCCAACAAATGGCAGGGATGCGCTTGGCCACACTACCCCCACCCCACCCCCC